GACGGGAGTGCAGTGGCCACTTCCGGCCACTGCAGCCTCGCCTGCTGGGCTCCGGTGATCCTTCCGTCTCAGCCTTCCGAGTAGCCAGAATTACAGGCGTGCACTACCACGCCCGGCTGATTTTTTGATTTATTGTAGAGATGAGGTCTCGCTGCCCAGGCGGGTCTCGAACCCGCGGGCTCAGGCAATCCACTCACCTCAGCCTCGCAAAGGCGCGGGATTACAAGCTGAGCCACTGAGCCCGGCTCACATGTGTATTCTTAAAAATATAAGCTAAAGTTTTTAGGGGCAAAAGTTATGATGTCTTAAATCATTCAACCCACGTACTGGCCTGCAGTAAACGAAGCTTCATTGTATTACAGCTGCTCTTGCCATCACTCACATTACCACCTGAGCTCCACTTCTTGTCAGATCAGCAGCAGCATTAGGTTCTCATAGGAGTGGGAACCCTACTGTGAACTGTGTATGTGAGGGATCTAGGTTGTATGCTCCTTAGGAGAATCTAATACCTGATGCTCTGAGGTGGAGATGCTAGCGATGTTTCTCATCATCCCCAGATGGGATCATCTAGTCGCAGGAAAACAAGCTCAGGGCTCTCCCTGACTCTGAATTATGGTGAGTTGTATAATTATTTTATTAGATATTACAATGTAATAATAATAAAAATAAAGTGTACAATAAATGTAATGCACTTGAGTCATCCCAAAACCATCGCCCCCACTCCCCATCCATGGAAAAATTGTCTTCCATGAAACTGGTCCCTGATGCCAAAAAGGTCGGTGACTGCTGTCTTAAACAGTTCATTCAAAAAAATGTAAATCTGCACCAATACACAGATAAAGCAAATGTGGCAAAATAGAAATAATTCGGTGACTATTTGGGTATTCACTGTATTTGTCTTTCAACTTTTTAACTGGTTTGAAAATTTTCAACTGAAAAGTTGGGGGAAGTAAAAGGATAAAATAAAAACAGGCAATAAAATATTCAGTTGAATTTTAAACAATACAAAAACAAGAGACAAAATTCACATAAAAACATTCATAAAACTAATATATTGATCATACTAATAAAAATAAACATTTTCAAACTATTCAACCCCAAGAAAAAAATGATTAGCTTTGGTTTTATAACACATACACATTTATGAAAGCAGAGGAAAAATTTTGGAAGAATAATATTTTTGGCTTTTACATGGAGATCAAGGTGATAGGCAGGGGATCTATATAAACCACCAAAAAAATAATGACTGATTTAAATGGCCTGATCCCAAATTTTACTCAACACTCTAGATATATAACCAAAAACACCATTTTAAAAAAAAAAGAACATAATCCCTAGTCACATTTTCTACTGAGATCCATTAACAACAACGACAACAACTAAGCCAAAATAGTATATCATCTTACTTCTTCGATTATATTGTTGATTTCAGGTGCTGCTTTATTTGCTCGTTTCTTAATCTGTCTTTTTGCTTTGTTTACGTCTTTTTCAACTCTCTTCCAGTCGATCTGCACATAGCCACTGTGACTAGCAATCTGCAAAAGTGTAATAAAAATGGTTAATCCTAAACCAACTAGGTTGCTGACTAATCTAAATATATGAACATTTAGATTTCAAGAAATCTATAAAACTTATAGGAAAGTCATTATTTTTTATTCACTAATTATTCATTTTACAGATACTGAGTGCCTACTCTGTGCCAAGCACTGAACAAGGGAGAGATAAGTCCCCATTCTCAGAGAATTTCAGGTCTATTAGGAAAAACAGACATTAAGCATAAATAACTAATTACTTAGATGTGAACACCGTGTTTCGTGTTTAGTACACATAATGATGGGAAAAAGATTCCAAAAATTGTATTATAACTGTACTATCATTCTATAATACTTCTTAGAATAGGGAAGTAGCTAAAAAAGATACAAAGACTATCCAGATTATATAGCTAACAAATATATGTTTAATTAGGAGGGATCATAAACAAGTCAGTTATTAGGCCACTAAAGAAATTTATTTATTTTTGAGTTGAAGTCTCACTCCGTTGCCCAGGCCGAAGTTCAGTGGCATGCTCACAGCCACCCCAGTGTCAACCTGCTGGGCTCCAGTGATCCTTCTGCCTCAGCCTACCGAGTAGCTGGAACTACAGATGTGTGCTACCATGCCAAGCTAACATATTTTTTAGGATTTATTATAGAGACGAGGTCTCACCAAGTTGCCTGGGCTGGTCTTGAACCAGCGGGCTCAGGCAATCCACTCACCTCAGCCTCCCAAGTGCTGGGATTACAGGCTGAGCCACTGAGCCCAGCCTAAAGAAATTTACGTAGCCTGATGAAGGCCCTTCCCTAATTTTCTTTACTTAAATTAAGAATACTTTCTGATATTAAAATGTTTCTTCAAAAAAAAAAGAGAATACTTTCTAATAATTGCTTTTGAAAGTAGAATATAAAGAAATATGCTCTATACAAGTTTTATGCCATAAATCCTGTTAATAAAACTATAGCTAAATGTCTATTCATCATAAGAAAAGCCCTCATATGGTGCTACTGAAACACTGCGAAATCTGAACAAGAACAATAGTGCATGTAAGCCAGTAAAGTCAGTGCCTCCAAATAATAAAAGCAAAATATAATCACATGAATAGTAAATAATTAAGCCATATATAATAACATCATAAATCACTTCTATCAAACTTATGCTTTCTTTGTAATCTTTTAATGCTTCATTCTGACTTTTAACCACTCATAAAATACTGTAAATAATAAAATATTTGATTTTATATAAATAGGTTGACTAGAAACCTGAGGTCCTATTTTCTCTGGGAATGACTCCATAGAAGAATTTATCTGCATTTCTTCCTGTATTTATTCACCTATCACTTTAAACCCCAGTCTCAGCAAAACAAAGTAGTGGTCAGATCAAATAGCAAGTGAAAGCTTTTTCTTTTTCTTTTTTTTCTTTGACTCAGAGTCTCACTCTGTCACCCAGGCTGGAGTGCAGTGGCATGCTCACGGCCAATTCGGCCTTGAACTGCTGGGTTCAGGTGATCCTTCCACCTCAGCCGTCTAAGTAGCTGGAACCACAGGCATGTGCCACCATACCCAGCTCATTTTTTGATTCTTGCAGAGATGAGGTCTCGCCAAGTTGCCCAGGCTGGTCTAGAACCCCCCTGGACTCAGGCAATCCACTTGCCTCGGCATCCCAAGTGCTGGGATTACAGGCATGAGTCACCACACCAGGCTGAAAGCTTTTTCTTATAGTATTTGAAAAATTTGAGTTGCAGGCATGGAGGTGATAATGAACATTAGAGAAGAGAACGTTTTCTACATATAAATTGAAGACTTCTTACTTGCACTAATAAAACTAGTTGCTTGCTTTGAAGCTTTTGCAGAATTCCACTTTTTCTGAATCTCAACATACCTTTTTACCCAATCCAAAGCTTGTGAGAAGTACAAAGATCTTATGTATGAATATGGCTTTATTTTTTGGTTAGAACAAACCAAAAATATTATCTATGCCACCAATCAGCAATTCCCAATTCAATTATCATTTTCAAGACTTTGCATTTTAAGTTATGAACTTTTTTAAAAAAATCTTTGCGCCATGAGTAATACTGGTGATAAAATAACCAAAAAACATGGCTGGGTGCAGTAGGGCTCAAGCCTGTAATCCAAAGACTCTGGGAGGACGATGTGAGGGGATTGCCTGAGCCCACGGGGCTTGAGAACAGCCTGGGCAACTTGGCAAGATCTCATCTCTACAATAAATCAAAACATTAGCCAGGCATGGTAGTGCGCACCTATAGTTCCAGTTACTTGGAAGGCTGAAGTAGAAGGATCACCTGAGCCCAGCAGGTCGACGCTGGGGTGGCTGTGAGTGTGCCACTGCTTTCCAGCCTGGGCAATGGAATGAGACTCCAACTCAAAACAAAACAAAAATCTTAACTACCTGCCCTGGGTGACCCCTTATCTACCTTCTAACCCTGGCAAATGAATAAGGAAAGGCATTTATTCTGCTGAATAGTCGGAAGAAAAAATGTTAAAAAATTAAAAAAACATTTTTTTAAAAGAAAGCTATTTAATGAGACAGATTAAACCAATTCTCACAATATTCTATACACAGTATGAACATTATTTTTACACAGCCATTTGTCATTGAAAATTTAAAAATCTGACACAGAGAAAGATTTTGTATAATTTAAACAATCCTCTATGTTTTGAGGGGAAATGTCAAATGGAAAGCTCTGAGATGCTAAAGATATTAATGCTTCCCTGGGCTCTCCTCTGACAGCATCTTCCCTCTGCTCCCTCAGCACCTCACACACCCTTTCTAGCCTAGCACTGACCAGATCACTAGATTTGTCAGTATTGAGCTCTCCCAGCAGACTGTGAATCTCTATGTCCCTAGATTCTTGAATAATGCCAGAGATAAATGAGACACATTAAATGAATAAAAACAAAGACAATGAATAAAGACTAAATCTTGAAAGCTGTATTAACTAACTCCGCTCAAAGAATGACTCTCAATAACAAAGTGGCTGGGCTAGATTATCCCAAAGAGTCTTATCGTGTCTATTAGTGAAAGGATGATCTCTGTCTGATGCTGAAGTGATCTACTATGGTTGAACAGATTTCCTTGAGAATTTCACTTCTATCTTCCCTTGAATACAAATCTGGTCAAACTGAAGAATGCCAGACCAAACTGAGTACCATGCTCCAGTGCAGAGATGATCAAGGACAAGCAATCTGCCCCAGTGGGGTTCAAATACATCCAACCAAATTGACAAATATATATATATATATATATATTTTGAGTTGGAGTCTCAACTCCACCGCTCACGGCCACCGCAGCCTCGACCTGCTGGGATGAGGAGATCCTTCCGCCTCAGTCTTCCAAATAGCTGGAACCACAGGCGTGCACCACCATGCCTGGCTAATTTTTTTTACTTACTGTAGAAATGAAGTCTCACCAAGTTGCCTAGGTTGGTCTCGAACCTGTGGGCTCAGGCAATCCTCTCACCTCAGTCTCCCAAAGTGCTGGGATTATATGTGTGTGCCACCGCACCCGGCCAACAAATATCTTCTAAGGCTTGACCACACAGGACCCAGTCCAGTCTTGTCCACCCAGACCTCATCTGAGCAACTATAGGGAAATGCAAGCCAACAGACTGGGGAGGGAGTGGGCAATGACGACCGACACTAAAATATTGAATGGAATTAGGTACAGTGGAGTCATTATAATAAAAGCTTCAAAGTTAAAAATAATGCCAGGCTTTCATGCAAAGATTTGTGTCTGCCAGAAAGGTCTAAACAGACAGATGTGATTTTTTGCTTGTGAGCCTCACCAAAAGGTGATCTAACTGGGATATTTCATTGAAGGAAATTCTACCCATCCCCAACTCCACGTCTTTCCTTGAGAAGGGAAAGCCCCATCCACCCAATTAGAGCTTTTCATCAACTTTTCGGGCCTAATTCTTCAATAAGAGAAGACAACCAAGGATCATCAAAGGAGGAAGACCTTTAACATGAAAACTAGAGACCAAAATAAACAAGTAGGGAAGGGGAGGAAAAACAAAAAACAAAAAAACTTAGAGGAACAGAGACTTTGTAAAAAGTTTATTCAGCCGGGCATGGTAGCGCATGCCTATAGTTCCTGCTCCTTGGAAGGCTGAGGCAGAAGGATCGCCAGAGCCCAGCAGGTCAAGGCTGCGGTGGCCGGGAGCGTGTCACTGCACTCCAGTCTGGGAGATAGAATGAGACTCCAACTCAAAAAAAAAAAAAAAAAAAAGTGTATTAAAGGCCAGGTTCGGTGGCTCAGCCTGTAATCCCGCACTTTGGGAGGCCGAGGTGAGTGAATTGCCTGAGCCCGCGGGTTCGAGACCCACCTGGGCAACTTGGCGAGACCTCATCTCTACAATAAAACAACAAAAAAATTAGCTGGGCATGGTGGTGCATGCCTGTAGTTCCAGCTACTTGGAAGGCTGA